GCGGCATCATCCCAGCGCGCAAACGACGTTGAGATCTCGCTGACGGTGGTGCCGGAGCGCGTGCGTGCAGCGCGTGCAGCAATCTCGTCGTTGACGCTGCCGTCCACCAGTGATGCTGACATCAGCGCCGCGCGCGTCACCGAGTTGCGGAATCGCCGGATTAGCGGCACACCCTCATCGCGCGACACGCTGCGACGATGCATGGTGCGATCAGTGCTCAGGTGTGGGAACTCGCGTGCGCCATCAAACGTGGCCCGCGTGGGCGTGCAAAACGCTCGCACACCCATGGCCGACAACCGCCGCGAGCTGCGCGACAGTACGTCGCTGGCCACGCATGTCTCGGATGAGTTCGACAGAACCGAGTCGGCTGTGTCAGCGCGCTGCCGAGCTGGTCGGAAGCTGCTGCGCCGGGATGCCCGCAGCATGTCCGACTCGCCGTCGGCCTCGGTTGGGTCGCTGCTCGAGTACGCCGCTGGTGCCCGTCGCCGCCGCCGCGCACCCTGTGCTGACGATGGGCGCCGTGCCAGCAGCTCTGGCGAGCAGTCCAGCGCCAGCCGCGGCTTAGTGCGCCCAGCCCGCTTCTTTGTGTGGAACGCCGGCGGCTGCGATGCACTCTTGGGCATTATTGGTTCGGGGAAATCCGACAGCTGTGGGTCGTCTGAGGCCACTGCCGGCTTGGCCTCCAGTGCCGAATTGGCCTCGCTGATCAGCGAGTCGATCATCTGCTGGATGCGGTCGTACTGCGGGTCGGCCGCCTCGTCCTGAGGTGGCTCTGCCTTCTTTTCCACTGGTGCGCTTGCTGGTGCGCTTGCCGGTACTTCAGGCGCTGTCCGCGTTGCGTGCGGAAGCGCCACGCCCAGCTTGCCGATGCGTGCATTCAATCTATGCTGAGGAGGCCATTGAGCTGAACAAGGCTGCAGGAAAACAGAAAATTGCTGCTGCCAGACCCATGTGCTCTCGAGAAGAATGGAGCACAAGCCAAGGCTCCATTCTTCACATGCCAGGCTACTTACTCTGCTATTTGCGAGGCCACCGAAAAGTACGACGATGCATGGTTGTCCAGCGAGTTCTTGACCGTCGCTATCACGTTCTCCAGCTCCACCACGCGGCTCAGCACCGCCGGGTCGCCTCCGCCGCCCATCGTACCATACCCAGACGGGCTGCTGCCGGTGACTGGCCGCACTGCACTATCTGTTACCTGTCGCGCAGCTTCATTCTTGTCTCCCATTTGCCGTAATGTGTGTATGTGTTTTTTGTGAAGGCGAGCTGTTAATACAACGTTAAGTGTACGTTAATGCAGAATGGGCTTCTAAAAAATAAAGGCAGTAGTCGTGAAATAGGGAGGGAGGCGAAATTCGCGGCTGGAGAGGAGAGATGCCAGACTGGCTCTTCCATTTTTTTTTTTTCACCAGAGAGCCTATGTTTCCCACCAACATCATCGCGCACTCTCCCTAGGAGATTTTCTGCCATGCCTAGCAATCACGGCCGCTTTTATGAAGTGTCCTTCTGGTAAACACAGGAGAAGATCCCTGCCTCGGCCACACTATAGCTCAGCGCAACCTTCACCAACCCGCGCCAACTCTATTTCTTTGCCTGCACCGCAACAAATAGCGCCTTGCCCTGGACAATAGCCTCCCCTGATTCCGCATCCACGGCGCTTGCCTCAACAAACACCTTGCGCCCCTCGACCCCCGTAATCCATGCATCCAACACCACAAACCGCTCCACCGGCTCCTGCCGCTTGAACTCGAGCTCAAAGCTAGCTGTAAACGTCGTCATGCCCGGCGGAGCCGCCAGCAGCGACGTGCGTGCCGTCAGATCATCCAACAGCACAAACAAAACCCCCGGATTCGCCATTGCGCGGCTTCCGAGATCCAGCCTACTGCCCAGGTACTGGACAATCGTCAGACCCTGATTCCCCGCCCCGCACGCAACATGATCCGGCGTTTGCGTCCACTTGAAAATAAGCGGTAGCAGCGGCAGCTCCCCAGGACTTGCCAGTCCCCCGTAGATGAGCGTCTCGGCAGCCTGCGCAATCTTGCGTTTACCAAATGGCCAGTAGAAGGGTGTCTGCGTGGTCTTCTCAGAACTGCTCAGCCTCTGTACAATCGGGAGCGCCTGGCGCTGCGCCATGAGCGGCCGGGTTTGGGAAATGTGCGACTGTGTGTAGGTGGGCGGATACTCGGTTTCGCTGGGTCCTGGTGGCTTAGTCGCGGTCATGCATGTGCGTGCAATTGCCTGTGGCGTCCGTGCTGCGCCCGTCCGTGCGAGGGACCTGAACACTGCCTGCATTTGCAAACTCGGAATTATTCAGTACAGGTATCTAGAGAGACAGAAAACGTCAACCGTCGTGTGTCTTGCACTAGCCAAGATAAGAAGGATAGTGCCCACTAGCTTGGCCACGAACTCCGTGTTCGGTGGATCTGCCCCATGACAAAGCAGCGGGCTGTTATCAGCAAAAAACGGAAAAACTGTCATCCGTCGCTCACGCCCACGTCTCTTTTCTCACGCGACGGGCCCGTCCGTGCGCCCTATCGGTCAGTTCCCCACGCCCTCCCCCGATATCTTCAGATCAGACACTGCCTCGTACAGGAGCTGATTCTGGAGGTCATAGAAGCGCACCGCTGCGCTGGCTGTCCCCTTGCTGGCACCATACAGCCATGCATGCACTTTGACAAAGCTGGCTGTGAAAACCGGCTTCCGGTAGTCCATCTTCATCGTCGACACTACTACGTCCTGGCCTGAGAAGTTGAGTGCCGCCGCCAGCCCCATCAGTGAAGTTGCCAGCGTTGCCGTCATGCCGCCGTGGATCACGCCCGGGTGTCCTGCCACGTTCTCATTAATGTAGTCTACCATTGTCACCATGGGCACGCTAAACCTGCCTGGCTGTCGGGCGGCAGGAATGGTCGTCTGCTGGAGCTGCTGGGAGAGGTCGCTGTTGGCTTTCCATGCGAACAGCAGTGGCGGGACGCGGTTGAGGTTGGTGTACCCGAAGTGGTTGGCGAATTCGCCGAGCTGCTGCTTCGCCTGCCTGATATCGATCGCCTGGCAATTGCTGTTCTGTTCAAGCTCCTGGACTGCTGGCAGCGCTGCCCGCTCTCTGACGATGCTGTCGATGCTCCGCAGTTCGCCGGTCATCAATTGCCGGATGCAATTCCTTGATAATGGTCCGAGAACCTGTCGGCGTGCCTGAAAAAGTGTTGTCATTGAAAAAAGCACTGGAAGTTGCAATTGCAGAGAGAAAAGGAGTATTTCTGCGTATCGCTTTTCCACACTGGATGTTTATCAGGCTGCATGAGAATGGCTCGCCCACTTGTGCTGCGAACCAGCTGTCGCTGCCATTGCGATAGCTGGATCTGGACCCGACTCTGCCTTCAAACTTTTTCTTGTGTAATTCTATGTGCAAGTTGCCACCCGTGCAAGTATTTGCTACCAGCTACTTTGCTCTCAGGACACGAGTGTTGTAATCATGGCTACTTTATTTTTTACCTTTGGGACCCATCTCCTCGAAGCTTTTTGTAAAACACACAGTCGCCATGAGCTTTCTACACACCCGGCTTCTGTTCTTTCTGATGTCGCTGTTGTGCTTTATTCACTCCTCCAATGGCTGCAGTTACTGAACTGCTAATAAAATCAAACGAGTGGAGGCACATTCACTCGATTAGCATAAACTGTCGCTATCAGCCATGCCATGCCATGCCATGATCTGCACAGGAGAACTCCCATGTCGACATGACAAAGAACATGGGGCGCTGGAGTGATCCAGTCAACTACCAGCCTCATCGAGCCCTCCCTTTCTGCAGCTGCGCAGTTATTTTTCATCAATCACTGCTGTAGCATTGTGTCTAATGCCACCTGTCGATGCTCAGCCTTCAGCAGACATGCATATAAACACACGCTTAACCACCGTACTCTCTGCCAACGGATTCTTTTGCAAGATTTCATTTCCAGCTAGTATTGTACTCATTTTAAAACCATCTCTATTCCACAACATTCTTCTCTAGCTCTGCTATGGGTCTCTTCAAGCTGTTTCACAACGCTCCTATCTACGAGGCACCGGCTATCCAAAGCTCTCTATTCGGATCCCTGTGCAGGGTATGTAGTTTGCAATAACCGATGCATTCCCCAGCAACACTGCTCTTCTAACCGCTAGAATTAATATAGATACAGGAATGGACTATTATCGCTGCCCTATGTGCCTTGCTTTACTACCAAAGTGCATTCTGTATCTATTTGACCCTCGGTGCAGTGCAGTGCTCGATTATAAACAAGATATTTAAGCGGGCATTCCGACAGGAGCATCCCAGTCAGCGTAGAACCGGTGCTGCAGCATACAGGATGCTGTCTACCGATAATGTAACAGCTGCGTATATTACCGCCATCCTGTCTTCATTGCTGCTGTCAGAGTACTACGACGATCCAACCTACATTGTCTACATGTTGATGGCCAGTCTTGTCAGCATCCTGGCTATCCTTGTTTTTTTATCCCGTGTGACTTTCAGATCTCAGACGGTTGCCCAGGTTTCTGTAGGGCTCCTAGTTGGCACGATCTTTGGGACGACATGGCAGCTGCAGCGACACACACTGCACCCACATATTGACACTGCAGTGGTGGTGGTTTCTGAGCACATTTCCGATTGTTTGTAATCAGGATAGCCAACTCGCTTCAACAGCTATGTTTACCTCTGAGATGCGAACATCCAGGACACAAGCGTAGTATGAGAGGAACTGCGTCAAGAGGGCTGGCTGTAACCATGCGAGGAGACCTGGCGGCTCCTGGTCTGTGGAGGGAATGTCGGTGCGGCAAATCGCATATTCGCAGACGCGATCAGCTGATTACCTGATGTGATCACAAAGCGCTCAGCTCAATATTTTTTCGTCGAAAAGGGGTTAACGATAAGCGTGCAGTGCAGTTCAAAGCCAACGGCTGCTTTTCAACCTTCAATTCCAGCAACTCAAAAAACCATTCTTTAATACATTCAGGTCCATTGCGATTCGATATGCAGTCAGTCTCAAAGTTGCTCAGGACATCGCGGGTCGCTGCTGCCTTGCCGCGGATGAAGGCGGTGCGGTTCCAGTCGACATACACAAAGCCGCGGACGGGTGTGAACCCCGCCTACGACGAGGCCCTGAAGGTGATCGAGGCATACAAGATCAAAAAGACATCCGAGGCCGAGGCTGCGGCAAAAGAGCTGAAGGACGCGCAGGCAAAGAGCGCCAGCTCTGCGGAGGTCAGCGCGCTGAAGAAGAAGTACTTTGATCTGGCAGTGGAGGCCGAGATCAACGACTCGGAGGTCCTGTGGAATGCGCGGCACGGCAACTACGATCTGTCCGAAGCCTGTATACGCGCACCTGAAGGAGCAGGCGTGGCGGGCGCGCCCGCTGGAGATTCTGATGCAGCGCCTGCTGCAGATGTACGTGCTGCCGGATCTGCTGGACCCGCGCGAGGTCGGCATTCCGCAAGCGCAGCTCAACGTTGCCCTGGCAGAGGCCCTGCTTGAGCCTGGATCGGTGATCGAGCCCAGCGAGGCGCGCAAGCAGCCGGAGATCGAGTTGACGACCTTCCACGAGGACACGCGGCTGCACACCCTGGTGATGGTGGACCTGGACGAGCCGCATGTCGAGCAGCAGACGTTCCGCGAGCAGTTCCACTGGGTGGTCGCCAATCTACCGTTCTCGATGAGCCAGACCAAGACGCAGATCAGCGAGGGCAGCGAGCTGCTGGCGTACATTCCGCCGCACCCCGCGCGCGGCTCGCCGACACACCGCTACGCGTTTGTTGCCTTTGAGCAGCCCGACGGTGGCAAGCAGCGGATAGAGAACATTGAGGTGTCGCGCGATCTCGTGCTGCGCGAGTTCGCCAAGCAGCACCATCTGCGCCCCGTCGGCCTGTCGTTCTTCCGCGCCAACTGGAACGAGTCCGTCGACGAGGTGTACCGCGATGTGCTCAAGCTGGCCCCGCCCAGCTATGGCCAGATGCCTGCGTTGCGCACGAACGTCACCCCCGATGGCCGCCAGATCAACGCCTATGCCAACTACTAGACCTTCCTTCCTCTTTGGTTCCATAGCAGGGACAGTGATCTTCACAAATACATCATCTGTGATAGCAGCGGTTATAATGCAGGAGGACGCTGGGAGGGGCTGGGGTGGATTTCTAGAAGGCGGCCAGGGCGATGCTCACAGCAGGCTACTGCAATTGTGCAATTTCGCCTGCAGCTACGTGTCTGCAAAGCCCAGATGCCCGGGATCCTCCCAGGCGCTACCAAAAAACTGGCCTCGCTGTCAGTTTTGCGGCTGTGTGAAGATAACCTTAGCGAGCTGGTTCCTTTCACGTGAAGATTGGACGATCGCACCGGCCTTTGGGTTGCAAGGTAAAAAACTACGGCGCGCCAAGTGCTTGCCTAGGAAATGAGGCGAGGGACAGCAGGCAGGCGAGCGGCTTCTTTGCCATGGACGCAATGCCGGAGCTAGCGCGCTGGGCTGTATTCAGGCCGCCCTGTGGGTGCGATGACGCCTGCTTGAACGCACAGGGCGCGCTCTGGCCAGCAGGCAGAGATAAGCGGGATGGGGGCAGGGCTCTGTCTGCGCTCGGGAGTCTGTGGACGAGTAAGAATCCAGAGTCAGCTCGCGCCTGCAGTTTTCCACTCGCCTCCCCCAAAATAAAAAATCACCGGGGCCGCCGCTCTGCGCCAGAGTCGGACAGCGCTCGAAATAAATAGGCTGGTGGCGGACCCCTTGCCTTGTTGCTTCTTTTCGAAGCTGTCGGCTGTTCAACTCAATTTTTTTCTTACTCTACCTCTCATTTCCTTCTGAATTCGCTTGTTTGGGCGGATATATTTGGGACGCACCCCTTGCTACCACCACACCAGGCAAATAAAGATCGAAGCGGCTGCTCCTCAACTATGTTCAGCAGCATTAGACAGTACTTCCCCAGCGACGACGAGTACGTCTCGGAGAGCGCCCTCAAGAACCTGCGCAACTACCAGTACCGGGCTGTCGACAAGTCCTTTTGACAAAATACCTGTACCGCACTACTGGAGTGGGCCGTGACCCTGTTTCCGCGGTGGATGGCGTAAGTATCTGCGCACCTGCGCGGCTAGGGCAAGAGCAGCACAGGCACCGACATGAGTGCAAACAAATACGAATTCGCTGTGCACTAACCCTCTCATCGCCGCCCCCTCTCTTTCCTGTTTCTAGGCCCAACCTCATTACGCTCACTGGCCTGAGTTTTGATCTTTGACGTCTTTCTGCTGCTGCTGCTTATGCCCGATCTCGGGGACCCGGGCCTGGTGGCTCTATTTTGCCTTTGGTATCGGCATGTGGCTGTACTCGACCTTTGACAACGTCGACGGAAAGCAGGCGCGGCGGACAGGCACATCGAGCCCGCTGGGCGAGCTGTTTGACCATGGCTGCGACGCGTTGAACTGCACGATTGCGGGGATCGTCGAGGCCTCGGCGTTTGGATGCGGAATTTCTTGGCAGACAGTGACCATTATTTTCCTGACCACATCGACATTCTTCCTCTCGACCTGGGAGGAGTACCACACGGGCGTGCTGTACCTGGGGTACATTAACGCCCGACCGAGGTCCTGACGTTCGCCGTGTTCGCGTGCTTTGCGTCGGGAATCTGGGGCCCGGGATCTGGCATGTGTCGGCGGCTACCGGCATCCCCATTTTCGGCTCTCTGTTCCCCGCCACCTGGGAAGTCATGGATGCTGCACTGTTCGTTACTGTCCTGGCCGCTGTCTTTGGCCACTACGGCGTGTGCTGCTGGAACGTGTACAAGGCATGCAAGGAGCAGAACCGCAGCTTCGCTGCCACCCTGCCCCAGCTCCTCCAGTACGTCGCCTACGCAACCAGCTGCTACGTCTGGCTGACCACCTCGGTCAGCATCTTCCACAACAACCACCTGGTGCTGTTCCTCGTCACCTCGGGCATCGTGTTTGGCCGCATTGTGGTAAGTACTATGTATACGGCGAGGTCATGCGACGCAGCACTGCCTGCCACCCGCCCCCGCTACCATTGATTTTGATGTGCTAATCCTGCCCAATCGCTTCACACTCTCTCTGTAGAGCAAGATCATTCTTGCGCACCTCACCGAGATGCCGTTCCCGTCCTACACCGTTCAGATGGTTCCGCTGGTCGTCGGCGCCGCACTCTCGTTCTTTGGTTTGTTCTCGGCCAGGACCGAGCTTTTGTTCCTGGTCATTTCGTTCCTGTTCGTCACAGTCGCGTACTTCCACTGGGCCCTGGTCGTCATTGAGCGTTTCTGCGAGTTCCTCGGCATCAACTGCCTCACCATTGCACCCCGTAAGAATCGAAAGAAGGCAGAGTAAATTATTGTTGCCAACCCCTCCTCACACTGCATATTCTCATATTTGCACCCTCTATCCACCACTACGGTATATCATTATCTTTTCTTATTCTGCCCCTGGGATTGTGTCCCTTCTCTGGCACCACTCTATATCCTTACTCCAAATCCATTTTTCATACTCGATCTGGCCAGACCTTGCCGGTCTTGGATCTTTTTCTGTCTTTGCGCCTATTTCTCATAT